GAGCTGAAACCAAGAGTCGGACGTTTAACCGACTAAGCCACCCAGGTGCCGCAAGAGACTGAAAGAACTTTCTAGGCAAGTTTGAGACAGAGTTGAAAGTGGGGGGCTAGCAAAGTGTGGAGGCGTCCCAGATGCCCACATTCATCAGGTTTCCCGAGCAAGGTATGTCCGAGAGGGGTGCGACCCCATCCCAATCCTGGCCCCTGGCCGCCCCCCCTCGCTTCCAAGGGGTCTGAAATACAGACGTGACCGCGTATCACTGCCGGGACCACATCAGCCGCACCTCTTCCAGAATCGGGAGTCTCAGACTCACTCCCCTGCCCTCAACAGCTCTGCCAGATGTCTAGGGGAGACCAGAGCTGAGCCCCAGGGAGCGTCTGACCACACAACAATAGGGAAAGGCTCACAACAAGGGCTTGGATGAAAAACCAAACTGTGCCCACAGCAGTGAAACACTCTCATGTATCTCACACACACACACACACACACACACACACACACACACACACACACAGGGTAGGTCAATCCCCAAGCAAGGAACCTGCTTAAAGCCTCAAATCTCACCCAGCCCAGACATAAGGAAGCTCCCATTCACCGACATGCATCCCTTGGGGAAACCCATTCTACACCCACGATGGCGGGAAATCACATTCCTTTCCTACAGATCAAAGAACACTTCCTACGGAGGCTGGCTCAGCTGTCCTGGGTCACGAAGAATCCACTTGAACGCACACAGAATCCGCATTCTATAGCCCAGAACGCTAGTTCCAGCACGGGGCAGGGGCTCAGTAAACGAGTCCACCATTCATGTCGAGCACTGGGTGTATCCTGAGAAGAATCAGAGGATCCCGAGCTCTTAAGACTCATATCCTCACAGAAGAGAAGGACTGCCCGTAGGAGTCACTAGGATGCGACAGAGGAGGGGACTGGACCCTGAGGAGGAGGTCTAGGAAAATGAAAGAGAGGTGATCAGGGCAGGCTTCCTGGAGGCAGCATTTGCAGAAAACTGAAGTTCTAAGGCAGGGGTTGGCAAGCCTCAGCCCATGTGATGGCCAAATCCAGGCCACCACCTGTGTTTGTAGGGCCCAAGAGATAAGAATAGTTTTGTAGTTTTTAATGGTTACATTTTAAATGGTTATTTAAGTACATAACGTCCTCAATTTTGCCTCTTGGCCAACAAACCACATATTTACGGTCTGATCCTTTAAAAACGTCTGCCAACTCCTGTAACTGAGACACACGCACAAAACAAATCCCAGATAGCAAATAAAAGCCATCGCTAATGCTCGCCGAGGGCTTGCCATGTGCTCTGCGTGCGGCATCCTTCAGACGCTATTACATGGTCACGTAGCCCCATAAAGGGATGTCCTCCCCACTCCGCAGAGGAGGAAACTGAGTCACAGAGAAGTTAGGGCCTTGCCCAGAGTCGCACAGCCAGTGAGGGTAAAGCCTGATCCCAAGATGCCCTCTCCGTTACCAACTCAGACGCCTGTCCAGTTCCCTTGGGAGAAAACACATGACCCATGTTCTCAGCACACGACACGTGTAAGAAACAAGCCCGTGTCTGGCTGGGGTGAAAAAGGAGGCAGGGGCGCCTGGGGGGCTCAGTCAGTTAAGCGTCCGACTCGTGATTTGGGCTCAGGTCATGATCTTGCAGTTTGTGGGTTTGAACCTTGCACGGGGCTCTGAGCTGATGGTGCAGAGCCTGCTTGGGATTCTCTCTCTCTCTCCCTTTCTGCCTTCCCCCACTTGTGCGCTCGCTCTCTCTCAAAATAAGCAAATAAACTTAAAAAAAAAAAAAAAGGAGGCAGAGATCAGAAATGAGAGGCAAACAGAAATAAGTAAACTGTCTCAAGGCCTCAGCTCAGAACTGGCACCTTGGCACTCGCCTTATTCTATTCTTGCCGGACCCGGCAAGGCACACAGACCAGCCCAAAGGCAAGGGGCTCTCGCCTGCTGTGAAGGGAACGGAAAAGTCACATGACAACAGGGTGGACACAAGGAGAGCTGACGAACTAGACCAATGATGCAACCAACCGCATGGACCATCTCAGGACAGTATCTAAGATGCGCTTTGGAAACCTGCGCGAGCTGACAGTGCTCCTCAGTCACGTGTCCTCCAAGCCAGAGTCCCCAAGGGGAGAAGTCCGCATCTGACACAAGCCCTTGATGGCACCCGCTCACATAACGAGACGGGGCTGATGTCTGGACCACCCACACCTTGAAGATGAAGCGGGTGACATCTCCATCGGCCACCTTGGACACGATGCAGGTGACGTCTGTCCACCTGCCACCCGACCCCTTCATCCTGCCACCTGTCCAGCGAGATCTGGGGAGAGACGGAGAGGAGGCTGGGCACCGGGTTCTGAGAGTGCCCGGCTACGTATGTGAGGCCCCCCGTTCTGCCCAGCACCTCCCCCGGGGGCTCCTGCCTGACCCCAGGCCAGGGTTCCTAACTGCAGGGGTACCTGCCTCCGTGCACCACCTCCACGGCCAGGGCTTCTCTCTCCCTCCTATATTTGCACATCACGGCCCCCCACACGGCTCCTCTGCCCCCCCTGGGTTACCCCCAATGCCTCGATTTTGTTTTAACAGGAGGGCGATGTAAAGAAGTCCCACGCACCAAAATCCCCTGCAGCGCACTCAGTGAATCAGAGCCATGCCGGCTGTCCTGGAGACCAGGAACCCCAGCCCACGCAGACAGCGCTCTGAGGCCGAGGCCAGGGACACAACTCTGAGCGGGCTAGAGCACACGTGCACGTGTGTGCACGCACGTACACACATGTGTAAAGAAACGGGCCTTGAAAAATCTTCCTGCAAATGCCTCCCCAAATTTTAATAACTTCCAGCCCTGGGAATGAACAACTAAAACAATTTGAACCAACCCCCGTGCCAAAGCTAAAAGAAAAGGGAAAAAAAAAAAAAAAAGATCTAGACAAAATATTTTTTCTAATGTTTAAAGTACTCAAAAATGAACAAAATAGTAAAGGCCTCTGCGGCCCGCATCTGAGGGCAGCAAGAACCCAGCCCTGGAAGGCGTTAACCAACCCTGTGATCCTGAAGGGACAGCTGGCGTTTTGATCAGCCTGCTGGGGACACAGGGACGAAAGTCGTGCCCAAGGCCCGCCCGAGGTGGGCGTCCGATTACCACCCATTTCACTGCGACCCCCAAGGTCACAGGGTCCACCAGGAGGAAGAAGCAGAGACGCAGCCCCACATCACGCATCCTCGGCTCACCTTCCTGATACGTGGCCGGATTCTCACACAGAGTCGTGACCCTGAGGCTTCTCTTTCCAGGAAGCAACTTTATTCGTGCCGGCACCGCTCAGTTGGGTTCGCACCCGAAGAACTGAGCCCCGCACGCCACGTAGAGTAGTTTTTTTATACATTTTCTATTTCTTTGCCTCCCATTTATGGTAACACACAAACATGCAGTCTGATCAAGTGGTCTCAGGTTTACAAGGTCATGAGGGATCTTGTCACGTAGGCGCATAGTCAGGCTACCTTCACAGGGTTTTGTGTGTGTGTTTTTCTTTTCTCTCTTTTTTTTCTCTCCTTAGGGAGGAGACCCTACCACAGACTGATGGCAATGGCAACAGTGCGTGCCTGTCTGCTTTAAAATGGGAGAGAATTCCTACTTGTTAAGTGATTACAGAAGTTTGTTGAATTTCCGTTTGTATTTTAGGAGGCACTGTTGGTCATACCTATGATTTCTTAGATGGTAAGTTTTTGGTTAGAAACACAGCCCCAAACCATGACATTGCGCCTCAGGGAATTTGCAGCTCCCTTTATGACACCCGACTCTAATACACGTGGATGGGCTCACAGAGCAGCTGAAAACAGATCCTGCCTCCTTAAAGGCAAAGTTGTGAAACATTGTGTTTACTTAAGCGGCTGCGCTGCTCAGCAGAAAGTCTAGACTCAAAATCTTGGGTTCCAATCCCCGTTTTGCCACTTACAGGCTGCACAACCACAAGCAAATGACACACAGGGCGCCCGGGTGGCTCAGTCGGCTGAGTGTCCGACTTCGGCTCAGGTCACGATCTCGCAGTTTGTGAGTTCGAGCCCCGTGTCGGGCTCTGTGCGGACAGCTCGGAGCCTGGAGCTGCTCTGGATTCTGGGTCTCCCTCTCTCTCTGCCCCTCCCCCTGCTCGTGCTCTGTCTCCCTCTCTCTCTCTCAAAAAAATAAATAAAAACATTAAAAATAAAAAAATATATGGATAATGATAATGACGATACCAGTAATATCCACGGCACGCAGAGAGACATTGAGAGATACTGCACACGAGGCCCAGTGCCTGGCCTTAAGCTACTGAAAGTTGAAATGTTTAAGAAATGGTTGCTATTAACATTAGGAGAAGTGCAATCCTAGATACCAGAGCTTAGCGTCATAGAGATACAGTAACAGTGACCGTCACAGTCAATCACGGTAACAGCGAGCGCTAGTGGGCCAGACTTGACCCAGGAGTCTAGAGCCGATGTCTTCGGCCATCCTAAGGTAAGTAATTAAAAGACCAGTATTTTTGCAATGGAGTAGGACCCCAAGACTAGCATCACGTGGTTTGTAAATAGAGACTCTCTCTCTGAGTCCAGAGGCCCCTGCGTCTGGCTGGGAGATAAGAAACGTACACGCAATGTACACGGGCAGCTATGAGGTCCCACCAGAAAGGAAATGAGGTTGCCTTGCGAGGGGGCAAAGGGCGGGGGGGGGGGGGGGGGCGGACAAGGCAACCCACCCTGCAGAGATTCTGCAATGACTTCAGTTGAGTCAGTGGGGGAAATGCGGCTGTGAGTTTCTGTGCCCTGCAGGAGAGAGAGTGGCTCTGAATGTTTCCCCCCGCCCCCATACGATAATGGTAAAAGAGAGGCCGCAGAGGCCAGAGAGGCCCGCAGACAGCAGGCAGCCCCAGGCAGCCCCAGGGGAGTCTGCAGCTGGCAGCTGTTCCAAGGGACTCTGCCCGCCCTAGGCCGGTGGAGGCTCTCCCCAGGGCCTCGCTCACCCTCTCTGACTTCGTCACGGGCCACGGGGACGCTGTGATCATCACTGGCAGCCTTCTCAGAGCTCTTGGTTCTCACGCCTTTTCTGCTATTTTTACCTAAAAAGAAGGAGAGAGAGAAATGCCTTTACTTCCACACATGTCAGAGTCCTCCCAGGATGGTGAGAATTCAACCATCGTCGGCGGAGTAGCGCCCCCGCCCTCTGCCTCCCCCGTCCCCAGTGTTGGCACCCTGGACGCTGAGGGGCTTGTGGTCACAGCAGATGAAGTGGGTCGCTGTGAACACCCAGGGAAATTAACACTCCCCATAACAACAGTGCATACATGCAGGCCGTCCCTATTCGAAAACTGCAAAATACCCTGCGGTAGGACTTTGACCCTTGGGGGGGGGGGGGGCCAGGCGGGGACACCCCACCTAACTGATAAAACGGAGCCGGCAACTCGGGACTTCTGACCACAGCGCTAGGATTTCCCACCCGGTTGGGCTCCTCCTACCAGTTCTCTCCAAGGCCCTGGCTGGGGGAATGGGAGTGATGATGCTCCCACCAATTGGAAAGACTCCTTACCAGACTCTGGGAAGCCTGTCTGATCATTCCCCTGGTCCTTCCAGCTTCTGTCATGCTGTACTCCCTCTCTCTGCTCCTATAATACCAGCCTCCTTTCAGCCTTAAGTTCACGCGCTGGTCCTCCTCCTTGCATTGTTCTCTAATTAACTCCTGCTAATCTTGCACATCTCAGCTTTGGCACCTCCTCTTTTGGCTTTCCCGAACTCCCCAGCTAAATCAATGTCTCCTCAGATGGGCTCTGATAACACCTTTCTTAGGTAGAGTTGCCTCTAAGCGGAGCCTGATGCAGGGGTTCAGTTACACATGATATATCACGGGGGGGGGGGGGGGGGGGGGGGGGGGGGGGCGGGGTTCTAAAGGGAAAGGGGAAGGAGAAGAAGGACAGGGCAGAGGAAGGAGCTGAGTAAGGCCGAATTCTCTCTCAGCCAGAGGCGGATTCAGCCTGATCCCACGGGCAGCTCTGGAGCAGGAATGACACACAGAGCATTGTCCCCACCTTGAGACAAGAAGCCACCTTTTCTGCAGTTGGTTAGCTTGGCCACACATCAACCAACTAAAGAGTGACAGATCTACGTTTCCCACCTATATTCTGGAGAAGGGATCGGCTATGAGCCATCACAGCCAAGACCCCAGCAGCTGGGATACGGGTGTACCTACAGGAAAAGAGGGCCCGGGAGGAGTCCCGGAGTCCCCACTACCTGTGCTATGAAGCATCATCACATGCGTGTAACATATGTCAGTCTGTTCATGAGGGCAGGGACTGTGTCTCGTTCTGTTTACTGCCGTATCTCTGGAGTCTGGTACGTAACAAGCTGTGATGAATGAATGAATGAATGAACAAGCTAATGAGTCACTAAATGACAAACAGACGAGAATAAGAGGAAGGGCAGGTCTGCGGAGAAGGACGTTTATTTGGACTTTAAAAAGCAAGTTGAAAAATACCAAAAACATCTAGTGGACTTTGTGCCAATTAATGAATCATTTCGGACTGTTCTACAGTCACCACCATCCCCCCCCCAAAAAAAAGATACTCATCAAGAAAACCTTAAATCTTCAAAATTCAAAGGGCACACTGGGTCCAGCCAAAGTTGATGCGCTCTCCATCGTATTCTGGAGTGATGCCTGCTGGGAGTATCTTTCATTTTCCGTGAAAGTGCCCCCTCAGGTCAAGAAAGCCAAAGGGCCAAAATGTTCAGAAGAGAGCTGAGCCAGAGAACCTACGAGCATCTGACATCAGCCTGATGTCACCTCAGCATCTGCCCTCTTCTGTGGGGAGGAATGTCACGGCCAGTGACCTCCAAAGATGGCCCCCTCTGAAGGGCCTGACCAGGGGTCCATAAAGATCTTGGTTGTTCACAAAACCGGTGCCATAACTTTTACGAGTGTGGAGTCTTATTGGGCAGAAAGATAGGATATTAAGGACGAAAAAAGCTTTACAAAATATGTGAGGGAAAAGCCAAAGTTCTGGAAAAGAATGTTCCATCCCGACCCTCCCCCGAAGTCGGCCACTGGTTGCAAGCCTTCTCTCTCCCAGGACAACCTCTGTGGAGCCTCCATGCCACCATGGGGGCAAGCGCCAAAGAGTGGGGCCCGGTGACACCCCCAGCCTCACCTCCCGTGTGCTGCACTGATGCCCATGACACAAACGTGCTCACGCAGCTCAGGGGAGTCACCGGGGGCCCAGGTGCGGGGCAGATGTCTAAGCCCTGAGAGTTGGACTCCCCAGGGGGGATCGACATGTGGGGAACACAATCCCTGAGGAGGTGGCAAAGGGGCATAGATCACAGAAGCCCTGTCACCTCCTCTGGTTATCCGGTGACACAGTTCCAGCTTATCGTAGGCCTACGGCTCGGGCCCCAGCCCCGGGCAGCCGGGTTCTGCCGCTGCCCTGCCCCACAGTGACCCACCTCACTCTCTAGGCTCCGTGCCCTCATCGACAACACAAGGAGACACGGCACCTGTCTCAGTGGAACTTAGGGGAGGAGACAAACAACGTACATCAAGCGTTCAGGGCCGTGCCTGGCCTGCCGCAACCACCAAATAAAAGACAGCGTCTCTCTCTCCGTCACCGATGCCACCCCCCAGCTCCCCAGCCCCACTCGTCACGAAGCGCCACCCCAGCCGCTGAAGGATAACCGCTCACACGTGGAGCGTGAGTCACAACCTGGGAGGCACTTTCACGTGGATCGCCAACACTGGGTGTGGGCAAGGACCCAGAGAGGGCAGGAAGCTGACTGTGAATTACAGACGGGGACACTGAGGCACCGAAGCGGGAGAGAAGAGGCCCACCCACGGTCACTGACAGAGCCAGGAGGCGGGAGAGCCGGAGGCGGGCTCCAAGGTGAGGCCCTTCCCAGTCCCCTTCCTCTCTTCCAGCAAGAAAGGCAGCACGCGGTCGGCACAGAAGGAAGATGAAAGGATAGCGGAATAATGCGCAGAGAAAATCAACGACTCCATCTGGGCTGCGTGACAAAAGCGAATTCCTTAAAAGTAGCAAAATGAAGTGCGGACGAGGGCCACATGTTCTATTCTGGTCTATGGTGATAAACATCATGCTTCTTGGTTGATAGGAAACTATTTTTTCCCCACTCTATATACAAGGAGCTTCCAGTCGCAACCCCCCCCCTTCCAGAAACTGAAAAAAAATTCTTTGCTGCATATTTTGCATTCTCCCCAGGAAATTCCAGCCCAAGGGGGTCTGTGCTCTCTCTGGTGAAGGATTCAGCCTGGGGGCCCTAAGTTCCTCTCCTGCCTCTTGCTAAGGAACCCACGTGAGAGGAAAGGGCCTCGCCCAAGCGCACAACGGGTTCTTGGGAGCTCCCCCAAAATGCAGATGCTCAGGACAGACAGTAATTATGGCTCCACAACCACACACGTCCACTGAGAACCCTCACGCGTGGCAGCCGGGAAGACACGGCAGGTGAACATGTGTGCGGGTGTTCGCGGGCCTAGGGCCATGACGTGGGGAGGGAATTAGCCTGTGTCTCCTCCAGTTATGAGAAAGTCAAGCTCCCGGTAGAGACAGGAATCCGAGGACTGAGTAGATCCCGAAAGGCAGGATGAGTGATTGAATGAGACACCTGCCTCCGTGAATCGGGGACCTTGAAGGTCTGGGGTGGAGCTGGGAGGCACTTATCACAGCTAAGTACTTTTCACCAGGGCTAGACCCAAATCAACCAGTCAACCAATCAGTCAAAAGCTCTCCCCTCCCCGCTCTGCTGGGTATTCCCTGGGAAACTAGCAGGCCACTCTCCCCTCCTCTGGGCCAGCCTCTCGTGCAGGCTTGGTCCCCAGCAGGGCCTCAGGGGCGTGAGGGCCAGCCGCTCCCGACATCTACACAGGGGCAGACACCTTCCTGACCTGCAACCACATAAGAAGCCCTTTGCTTCGAAGGGCTTCCACCAGCGGAAAAGCAACAGATGGGGATGTGCCGGGCGCTGGGCAGGCCACCGCTGGTACTTGCCTGTCTCGGCTGGGTGCCATCTGGAAACAGCCTGAGACGCAGCCTTGGGTGCAGAAATATATCTGGGAGGTGACTTCATGGAGTTCAAGGGAAGAAAGACGCAGAGAAGGAAATACCAATAAACCTAGGCTGCCTTACTGAGCGAGACCCACCGGGACTCGGCCTGGCTGGGGACCCTGGGGGACCGGGTAGGAGGGGCCCCCATACCAAGTCTCCGGGGGCCGGGAGGCTGGAGGTTGACCCGCCACACCTCTGGAAGCATCCTGAGTCCTGTGTCACAGTGAGGAATCCGAGGCTTGGAGAAGCCACACGTGCCCCTGAGTGGCCGAACCAGATTTCGATCCCAGCCCTCTCTGAACTGCGAACTGCCAAACAACCCACACGTGCCTTCGCGTGATCGAGAATCCCATACAAATCTGTGACACTGGAGTCCTCAGTCAACATTCCGGAGGTGTTCTGTGCCCCTCCGACCATTCCGTGATGCCTGGATGAGGAGCCAACTAGGTGCCCATCAGTTCTGGGCACCAGCCATCCAAAGACACCCTAATTCCATGGGTTTCGTGATCCCAGAGTGGCACTATGGTGGCAGGGACCTCAAAAAGCCACAGAGGGCAGAGTCATTGCTGGAGATGCCAAGCCTGAGAGCCCAGGCTCCCCGGCCCCAGTGGGGACATCCAGAGGACATCCTCACCTCAACACCCAGCCTCAGAGGCCCTGGCTGTCCTTTCCCAGCACTGAAGGCATCATCTGCCATGAAATCCGGCAGCCTTGGACCCTTGAGGCGCACAGGGAACACAAGGGCTACTTTTTAAGAACCGTGGCATCTCACCCAGCCTCCCCCTAACATGGGAGTGTCTCCCCTTCGTCACCCACGCACAGACCCTGGCTTCTGGAAGCACGGGCACAGGCTGGGGGCTTGCCAGCATGACGAGTTGACTTTGGAAAGCATTCTGGAAAGAGAGGCGGTGTCTTAGAAAGCTGCTTGCTGGGGCACATCAAACGGCCTTCTTTATAAAGCATCCTTTCCCTCAGAATTTTAGAGGGAGCTTATCTGGACAAATGCTTCGGAT